ACAAACCAAACATTGATAGTAGCAGAGCTTGGCAATACTGAAGAAGAAGAGGGGTTTTCTTGAAAAATTTTCATGGCTGAAAACTCATGCAATTTTCTGCTGCTCAAACACGTTTGTTGCATCAGCAAAAAGGAAAGGGATGTCATATTGTATTCAGTGTGTCCTGAAGTATGCTAAGAGTGCTACTGTTGTGCATCATCATCATCATGGTGTTCACTTTTTTCCATAGAAACTGTGTTACTACATCCTGCATGTCACAACATTCAGACAATGTACAACAAGCTGTCTGCCTTTTGACCATTCTGGTTCACTTTTACTGTCTGTGTGCAACAAAATTAATGTAAAGGTGTGTTGTCACTGATGGATTCCTTCTAGTGGGTCTGGAACTTGTTCAGAATAGTGCTTTCAGGAAACACAGCTAACTCTGGCTTATCTTTTGCAAAAGTACTGTATTATGGTTTATTTGAGAAGTTCCCTGGTATTACAGAAATAAAATCTTCTCTCTGCACCTCTGTTCATTTTGTTAGTAAATTATAATTGAAGACTTCTGTGGTGGGAAGGTATTTTATTTCACAAGGAGCTTGAAAATCAAGAATTAGTATTACCAGTAAAATGTATGTTTGCAGTATGCTTCTTTAAGGATTACCCAAAGCCTGCATGAGGACAAAAGTGTGTAAGGACTAAGGACTCAGCAGATTTGTATACTGTACACACCCTGGCATCTCTGTAATTAAATGGTCAACCCAACTTATACTTTGTTAAATTCGTTTTCATTTTGTTTAATCTCATGCCAGCATGTTTTGTTGTTTGGCATGAGAAGTTGGTACTTGTGGAAAGATCCCCCTGGCAGCAGCCTGGGCCAAATGCCTTTCAGTGGGTGCAGGACAGGAGGAGGGGGGGGTGTGTATAAAAAACAGCAAAGCACTTTGGGTTCAGGGGAAGAGAACTGAGAGAGAGAGAGTCAGTGTGGGGGGAGGGGGTTGCAGGGGTAGAATAGAGGAGAGAGGGAGAGGAGGAACAAGAGGAGTGAGTGAGTGTGTGTGGCAGAGCAGGGGTATCTTTGGACTGAGGATCCTCTTCCTGCTCAGTGCTTTCTTTCCCAGCGTGCGAAAAGCATCACATGCACATCATTTGGCATGGTAGAATACTGTACTGCTGTACTGTATTTGACAAATTGAAACATAGTCGATTGAGAGACGCAATCGTCACTTCCATCTGTTACATTCTAGAATGATATGCTGCTTTTCCTTCATTTATAAATTTATTCAATTCGTGATCCCTGTCTTGTGTTTTATTGAAATGCTATTTTCCCAATAGTCTTCTGCTTTTGCCCAACTTTCAAAATATCTTCAGAATATTTTTTCTTGAGAATTTATACAGTGTAGTATTAGTTTGAATGAAGAAGAAGAAACTGTGTTTAATTGCAAATTGATATGGCTATTTTGCAAATTGAGTGAATGAAGGCTCAGTGTGTGTAAATTTTCTTTTTTCTCATTTTTTTTCTCATTGTCAATTGGAAAATTTTTCTGAGAAAGAATTTTTAGGATGCATTGTGGTCATCATTAATTTTTTCCACTGCTTTTTCAAGTTTCAAACTTGTCATTACTTAGTTGCAAAACTCTTTCTTGGTTGGAAAAATATTCCTCTTCAATTACAATTTATTTTTCAAGTAAAACAATGCATTGGAAGTCTCCCCAACTTCAAGACTTCTCTTGTCAAACTCACCAAAAGTTAAATTTTCTTGGGGTCCTTGAGCTGTTATTTTACTGACACAGGAAAGAGGAGAGCAGTAAAAATGCAACTTGATGTGTTTTGAAAAGAAGTTGAAGACTACTTGGGCAAGTGACCCCTTTGCCTCTTAATTTCAGCATCCTGTCAACTCATTTGAAAAAAAAATTTAGTAGATTAAAAAATTAATCTAAAAAAACCACGTTTTCAAAAAGCAAAAAATAACCTTTAGTTGCAAAATTTGATCCAGACAAACAAACAGACAAGAAAGCGAGTTAATAAAAACGTGTTAAAATCAGATTCAAGGCCCAGAAAATCACGAATTTAAATTGTCTGTATTTTTTTCCTGGTCCCTTAAAGTTTAACATGAAGATATTCCATATTGTAAAATGTTGAAATTTTGTGTTGTGTGTGTGTACATAAACGAGAATGACATGACATGTTTTTGTCATTGTCAGGAGGAGTGTCGTTGTTCTCTACTTGTTGACAGCATCAAGAGCCTTGTTTTTTTAAGACAGCCAGGATAAGTGTAAAGAGTGTGTCGCTCTCTTTTTTTTATTTTAATATTCACCTTTATTTTTGGCTCACGTGTTGAGGAATTTTGCAGGCTGTCAGGTTTGTGACAAGTGAGTTCTCTGTGCTGCTCTGTCGTCTCTCCTTGCATTAAGTGAGTATTCTATACAGGGTAGCAGGTCTGACACTTTTTGTCATTGCCAATTTGCAACCACTAATTTGGGAATTTGAAACTTTTTTTTTAAATAAAAGGGTAAAGGTGGTCCAGGTCAGGATGATCGAGAGACAGAGGAAAGAGGCCATGCATTTTTGAATTAATAAAAACTCCCTTTTGGAAAATGTTTCATGAACTTTTTTTTTCTCTTTGAAATTGGAGTTGAAAAGCCTCTGAAAATATGTCACTGAAAACATTTTCGAAGAATAGCATGTCGTCTGATCATCAAATTATGTTTTGATACGCCCTTGTGCCAAGAAGGCATCTTGCTAACTTTTAAAGGGACCCCTGCCTTGGTGGCTTTTTGCAATGCTAAAAAAATGGCAATGCCCATCTTTTGATTTTCTTCATTTTATGAAACATGGAAAATCAGGAGTAAAAATGCAGTAATCCATTTTTAATCAATAGAAAATTGAAGTGCCTCAATCATCAAAATGCCATGTTTAGTTGAGTGCCATGTGCACCAATTTTTGAGAAACCTAGAAAAATGGGGTGCAAATTGTTCTTTAGTTGCAAAGATTGACAAATTTTTCTTTTTCAAGTCACACATGAAAAACGTGAGAGAAACATTTACAAGAAAAAAAATGAAGCAAGACATCAAATGACAACACTGATAAATCTGGATTACAGTTTAATTACAAATAACAGTCAATTGTAATGCTTTCTTCATTTTATTCATCATAGCTCAGATTTTGTGTAGTAACATTTTTCCCGGTTGGAAATAAATTCCGAGCAAAATTTCTTGAAGAGACTGTAAAGTTTGAATTTCATCAGCTTAAATTTCAACCTGACAGTTCTTTTGTAATTGTGTCTGATGTACACATCCAATAACTTTGTATACCTGCATTGACAACTTTTCATATGTTCAATTCTGAAAAACTACAGAAACAAAGGTTCAAGTGACATAACAAGTATAGAAAAAAAATTCAATTCAGATTTTGCTTCTGAAAACTTTGAGAAACCTACAAATTTTTCTTTAGAATATACAGCAAATTTTTGTTGTTGAAAATATATTTTTGCCTGTTATCTCAGTTGAGAAAATGTTTGCCCTGATCATGTGCATGGAATACAAGTATAAAATGGAAAAATTTAACTTGTCCAGCATATTACAATTTCATCAAGTAAACAAAGCTTTCTGTAGAGAAAATTGTATATCCCACAATCTATACAACATGATTTTATTCTTTAAAAATTTTAATCTTCCTATGAAAATGCATTCATTTTTTCAAATTAACAAGATGTTAGGAGGAAGACATCTCAATTTTTAATGAACAAGTGGGTGTGAATGAATGCGTATGGAAGTATTTCTTTCTCGACTTTTGTTCCATTTTTATTTCTAAAGATCTGCTTATTATTCGAAAATTTGGTTCGAAATTATGTACAGTACAGTACCATGCTCAAGTTCAATTGAAGTTTTCCCTCTTGGTTTCACTGCAGTGTTAGAAATTATTTCAGGTCTTATTTCATATGTCGAAGCACGGCACAGGGTTTTATTTCCTATTTCCCACAAAATTTCAGTCTGAAATGTGTTAAATATTGTGGGTTTTCAATATACTGTAATACATTTTTTGTAGAATTTTTCATTTCTTTGGGAGTTAGTTTTCACTTTACAATACAAGAAATGATTGCATAATGCAGTTCAGGTGCGGTTCAGGTGCATTTATTTTTCTATTTAATTTCATCAGGGAAGCGACTGATGGGTGTTTTAATGCTAGATCATTGGAATTCCTTTGATTATTTTATACTATGATACCCAGTAGCATTTTAATTTTTTCCATTGGAGCCAAATTTTGTTTTTTGTGCAAAGGCGCCTCAACCCCATCCATCAAGGGCCAGCTTTTAAAGCAACCCACCCACCCAAGTGGAACGTAATAAAATTTAGTTGTTGATTTGAAAGAAAGTTCATGAACACCGTGGGTATTTCCCAGGAGTTGCTGGCCAAAGTTGACGTGGCGCAAGCAACTTGTTCGGTACTGTACTGTATGTGAAATGCCGGCCGGCCGGTGAACTGTACAGTACAGTGTATAACATTATAACGTGACGTCACGAGTTACTCCAGCTCTCCCCCTTTTATCCCCCTCACAATCACTCCCTCTCCCGGCTGCGACGGTATTTGTGCTTGTGCTGACGTTTGATTCGTTCCTTTTCGCGTTCGAACGTTACTCGAGGCACGAACGCGTCGCACCCGTGGGAATTGCGGTGGTTTCGTTTTTACTTGCCTTTCCAACAAGTCTTTTTACGTGTACATTCCATCAATCGATCAACATGAGCGGAGACGAGTGAGTTACTGATTGATTCTCTCTTTTGCGTCGTATAATAATGGTGCGGCGAAGCATCAGCATGAAATGGTCTTGATTGAACGGCCCGGTCTGGTCTGGGCAAGCGTAGTGAATTCACGGGGAGGGGTTCGCTGCTGATGCTATAAGGGGGGTGGAGGTTCTCTATAAAGGGAGCCGCTTAGGGGGGTTCCGCTGCGTGCCATCTTATGAACTGGGGGGTTCCCGGTTTATGTGTGTGGAGCAGTGGTCGAAGAGTATTAGCAGTTATGGATTGCGCGTGTTTGCCCTTTTTCAACCGAGTATCTTCTCAAAAGGAAGAGGATGACGAAGATGCGAGGTACAGAGATATGAATCGGCGATTTTCTTCTTACGAAACGCCTTTTTTTACGTATTAAGTGGGGGAAATGCTTCGTGATCTCGAGTGTAGAGTCAGGGGGAGATAAGCTGTTCTGTACTTGTCGATTTGTTCGCGGTAATTTTATCTGTGGGGTTTTGTGTCGGCAGGGTCAAAGTTCTGAAGATGGATGACCCCGCGATCCTCGCTAAGCTGGAAGAAGGCTTTAAGACCCTGCAGGGCTCCGATTCCAAGTCCCTGCTCAAGAAGCATTTGACCAAGGAGATCTTTGACGCCACCAAGGGCAAGAAGACGTCCTTCAATTCTTCCTTGCTCGATGTCATTCAATCTGGTGAGTCGACTTACTTACGATGAATTGTTCAGTACGATCATATGGTCTGTGTTCGTGTGTGCAGGCGTGGCGAATTTGGACTCCGGCGTTGGAGTTTACGCTCCCGACGCGGACTCGTACTCTGTGTTCTCCGACCTCTTCGACCCGATCATCGAGGAGTACCACGTCGGGTTCAAGAAGACCGACAAGCACCCGGCGTGCGACTTTGGCGACTTGGACTCGTACGTGAACGTGGACCCCGAGGGCAAGTACGTTATTTCCACCCGTACGCGATGCGGTCGTTCCTTGGAAGGCTATCCCTTCAACCCGTGTCTCACCGAGGCCCAATACGTCGAGATGGAGAAGAAGGTGTCCACCACGTTGACCGGCTTGCCTGGCGAGTTGAAGGGCACCTACTATCCCCTGACCGGCATGGCCAAGGATGTTCAGCAGAAGCTGATTGATGACCACTTCTTGTTCAAGGAGGGTGATCGCTTCCTCCAGGTGAGTTTGTTTTTCTACGATGTGCTTTTCCGATAGTGCACTTACTTGAATTTCGTTGTGATTAGGCTGCGAATGCTTGCCGATACTGGCCATCTGGTCGTGGCATCTACCACAACGACGACAAGACATTCCTGGTGTGGTGCAACGAAGAGGATCACTTGCGCATCATCTCGATGCAGCCGGGCGGGGACTTGGGTCAAGTGTACAGGAGGATGGTGACAGCGGTGCGTGAGATTGAGAAGCGGGTGCCGTTTTCGCACCACGACAGGCTCGGCTTCCTCACCTTCTGCCCCACCAACTTGGGCACCACGATCCGCGCCTCTGTGCACATCAAGCTCCCGAAGCTGGCTGCTGATAAGGCCAAGTTGGAGGAGATTGCCGGCAAATATAACCTTCAGGTTCGTGTCGTCTCTCTCTCTCTCTCCACATGCATGCGTGTGTTTGATTCGTGAATATCTCTTGTGTTTGTTGAATCAGGTTCGTGGAACTCGTGGCGAGCACACAGAGGCTGAAGGCGGTGTTTATGACATCTCCAACAAGCGTCGCATGGGCCTGACTGAAGGCGAAGCCGTCAGGGAGATGCAGAACGGCATCTTGGAGCTCATCAAGATTGAGAAGTCCATGGAGTAGGAAGAACGTGGCGGTAATGCTCACGGACGGATGATGATGCGTCCTCCTCGAAGTACCCTGTGTTTCTCTTACTGTCTCTCCGACTGTCTTGTCTGTTTTATCAATCTATCTCCTTATTCCCCCTGTAATATGGAAGAAAAATGAGAAACTTCAACAAGGAAAAAGAAGCACGTTTTTGTCCCGCGCGGAGATGTCGAGAACGTTGTAGCATGACTTGAGGAGAGAAACCGGGTTTTTAGTCGCATCTTTCGGATTTTTTATTTATGCCGTTTAACTGGCTTTTATCGCTACCTACAAGTCGCTCCTCTGGGTGGGTCATCGAAATGCAGAACAGTTGAAAATTCACTTGTCACTGCATCTGGCTTGCTTTCTTTATTTTGATTCTGTTTTGATGTGGACGTTGGAAGGTGACGAAGGGATGGGATTTCGTTTCATGGAGATGAATGTAGGTCGTAGGTGCTGGAAGCTGAACAATCCGATGAATTTTTCAGCGAGAGTATCGATTACTGCGTGCGCAGCAGGACCTGTAATAGCAATTCATCATGCACTCCTCATTGAATAGTCTTGAATGTACAATGGTAGATTTAGAAAAGTGCATAATTTCCTTGACTTCTTTTTTATTTGGGCAGTTGATTTTGCAACGCATCAAAATTAGCCATGCAGTAGTATGCAAGAAGAAACGAATCCTATGCATGCCCTAAATCTCATGCTGCGACTTCCATTTTATGAGCATATTTAACTTGCAGGTATTCTCAAATTATTTTATTTTAAATATTCATCCCTGCAGTTCATACAGGTTGAAATCATGCACATCATTAGGGAGTAAGACCAGACCCATTCAGTAAGGTGGTGGGATTGGCTTCAATGCTAATGCCTCAAGTTCACAAATGGGTCTGGGCTGACTCCAGTAGCTGGCTTCTTGTAGAGAAATCAATTGGCTGGAGAACCTGGAAAAATACGGAATATGGGTTACAAGGAATAATCAAGACATGTTTGTTAGGCAAGCATAGAATTAATGATGTTATTTGCTTGATGTCTTGTACAGAGTTTCATCTACCACTTGGAATAATCTACTGTATAAATGTTATTGAGTGACACTTCTGTCCCCCAATGTTCATGAAATTACAACCTTGGCATGAATAATTTTTATAATTTGATGGAAGTTTGCAATTTTCATCAATTATAGGACCATGTGTCATTTTAGCTTCACTGCGCAGGTCAAAATTTCTCATGTGCAAGGTTTTTGTGTATGAAAGCCCAAACAGATTGGAAAGTCTTGAGCATAATAATGTATAACACTGTCCCTCATCATGTGTGCTGATGGCGGAAATTATCAGGCTTTGCTGTATCATAAGAACTGTCCTCATTTTGTTGAAACTAAGTTCTAGCCTAAGTTGAGGCCGCACATGACAATGAAATGAAGTCCTCATCCATTATTTTCTCATGGGAACCCCTGATTTAGAGCCAACTCGTTATAAATTCCATGGAAATGTGTCTTTTTGTCCTGAATGAGAAGTGAGCCAAAATCAAAGTTGAGGCATTTTCCTAGGAAAATCATTAGTTCCTTTTTTTTTTTTACTGAGAATCATAGTTCCTGCGCTCAAGGTAATATTGAAAAATGTTTTTTTTGAATGAAGGTGTTGTCCAGTAACATTATTTGGATACTTCTCTATACACCTTTCCTGCAAGAAGGAGCGTGTACGCTGTGCTGAATTCATCACACGTTGAATAATTTTGTGAGAAAGACGATTTGGAGCATGAAATTTCGCAAAAATTAGCCTTATAGAGTGCCTCATGTTACTCTCTTAGGATATTCATCTTTTCTTGAATTAATTATTGGACAAAGCAATTATAAGGACGTAAAAATTGACTTTGATTTTACTGTAAATCGTTAATTCTTTTATGCGACGTGAGAGCCTGAAATTATTTACAAGATTTAACCTACTTATGTCCATCATACTCAATGCCTATGCTTGACTGCCAGTTTTTCAGTCGTATCACTTGTTCATTTCATGGTCTATCTAGTTAGTATATATATATGCTAAACATAGAAAATTTTTTGAATTTAATGAATGGATGAGAAAATGATGGGAGAAATACCAAAGCATTTTTCTTGCAAAGATTCTATGAGTTGGAATTATGTCTTCCTTGAAATTAAGCCTAATAAAAGTCAATTCTCCTGAAATGTAGGGGCAATTTTACCATGCCACTGTCCACATGCTGCGTCAGTATCTGTGCATTGGTCCTTTTTATATGCCTTTTTTTATTCAAAAGTAAATGTTCCCATGTTGAATTGTCCGCATGTGATGGGGGTCTCACTGTATAAAGCTTGCTATATAGCAATCCACACTCCTGTGTAAACAACTCCCAAAACAAAACCATCCTTATTCCTGCTCTGATGGAGCCATCCAAAACTTAATTTCAACTAATTGATAGTATTCCCTGAGGAATATCACCTTTGTATTTGGGAAATCGGATTTTCCTTGGTAGAAGTCTCCAAGTACTGTACAGTACAATACAACTTATTGGTATTGTAGCTACATTTACAATTATTGCCCTAGCACCCGTTTCAAAAATTATTTGCTGGGAAGTGAGATGCTCCAGAGAATTGGCATGAAAATTTTCAATTGCAAAATATATAAATAGTTGTAATGCCTTTTCAGAGGAATTTCAAAGACCAAAGATGAAGGAAAAACTCACAATTCGCATGAGACTGTTACTCAATTAGAAATACCTCGATGCGGAGTGACAATATGCAAGCAATTGCTAATTCAACCATTTTTTGCAAAATGTTTTTTTCAACCTGATGTACAATATGTCAAAAATATTCAGAATTACAAAAGTAATGCCAGGAAAGCATTCAGAATTTGGAATACCCTGAAGAGAAATACTGATAGAAGGAAACTGATCCTCTGTCGTTGGGTATCACAAAACTATTACTGTTGTTATCCTACAATCTACTCAACACTTTGTTTCAAATCTCTTCTTTTCCAAAATAGAAAAGTATGGGAACAAGAATTCCCTACGCATATATTTTCTCATTTTGCTTTGGTTCAATGACTTCTACATTCGTCATTAATACGCATGACAAATTTCTCCTGCAAATTTCTCCAACCTCACACAAGATTGCAGGGATTGCAAAGATAATAATTGCCAGGATCTTAGACTGGTTCTGAATGTACACTGGGATGATACAGACTCAAACCTGACCATTGACTACCTTCTGGATCCCTTCTTCAACCCCTACATAACGGTAGTATAGAGCATCTTCACAACAAATAATTTACGCACATATATATACTGTATTAATTATAGGGGTCGCATATCGCACAAATTCAAGCATAAATATTCAGACATTTGATGAAACAATACACACATCATTTGATCAACATCGAAAATATGACAATTTCCAGAAAATGCTCTAAGATGTGTCTCTTTGTTTTAAGCAAGTCCATGCGTCTCGTTCTGAGCAGAAGAACTCATTCAAAAAAATCTGGTCAGCACATATAAATCGTTCTGAGGGTTCCTGTTTATGCCATAAATGGTACAATAAAACTTGAAATACATAAAACAAGACTGACTGATGGCTGATAAAACTCAATTTCTTTTTACAGGCTTCAAGAATAACCTTTTCTTTTTCCAGGCTCAAGAATAACCTTGCCTTTTTAAAGAGCTTCTGCACTCTACAACTCTCTTCTATTCATGTTAAATAGGAAAAACTACTTCTGGGTGATCAAGCCAAAAATTGGTTTCTTCTGCCCTCAAGCAGGAAAAATGCAGACTCACTTCTGCAGCAAATAAGAACAAGTTAGCTTATTGCTAAGTAAAAACTTCACTTGTTTATTATTTCTTCTGTAACATTACCTTTACGTTTACAGGAATACACAGTTCTTGTCAGAAGCTGTGCTAGTGATCTAGAAAGAAAATTCCAAAAACTAAATCACTGCTGTCTAGAGCCTCCACTTGGCTTGGTCTTGGTCTTGATCTCAGTTGAATCATGTCAGGAATGTTAGACTAAAAAATTGACAAAAGAACTAACTTAATGAGTTCAATTGGTCAATGCTACACCACCCCAGCGCAAAAAGGAGTACCAACTGCGCCACTAATTTGTTATCCTTTTTATGTTATTATTACTTTAAAAGACAAAAACAATGAATAAAAACTAAGGGAACGTTAAAAGAGTGTCTGACTCTTTTAGAGGTTCTTAACCCCTTGATTGCGGAGAGGTGCTTAATTTCCAAATACGCGAGACCTTTGAAAAATAGACAGACTTTTCACCCAATAAGTTCTTTTAATTGAGCACAAGACAACTCAAGCAAAACCAAGACAATACGTCTGGAGGGAAGCCTAAAGAAATCTCTGACTTCTGAAGAGGATCTGTGATCAACTGACTTTGGGAGAGATTAGCAGGGGTTTTTATATTGCTAGATTTGGTGGCTGGTTCAGCCATGTGGTTTCAGAATCATTGACATAAAGGGGTCATGAGTCTAGACAGGAACCTTGTGCAACACAAGTCTAGTATTTAATGGAAAATCTGTTGCTGAGAGGGGGCTGCTGGAAGGCAGTATCAGGTAACATGCAGGCATACAATGTAGTCTCAAGAAACAGTACTGGAATGCTTGACTCTGTTCAGCATCAGAGGCAAGCATCCAGGAAACAGAGTTGCGATCAGCAAAAGAGTTAAATGTAAAGAGTTAAAAGAGCAAATGTAACCAAAAGGGCATGAGCTGCATCAATGGAAGGAGCACTACAAAAGATGCTGGCAACAATTCACCACAATCGGAAAAATAGTACACAGGTTCACACAGGTGAAACCTTGAATGGAACAAGTACCATTTGTAACAAACGGATCCTTGTATATGCCCAATAAACTTGGTGAAACTATATGTGGAAATAACACAATTTGAGACGAGATCACCCTACTTATTTGTAAGGGCGGATAATGGCCAGCAAGTTCAAAAATCCATGCAACGCCAATGGCTCATAAAAATACTTGCTGAAATGGGAATAAATGATACGCCTGGATTGACAAGATCCGCAGAAGCAAGCTTTGCATGGGCTAAAAATAGATCATTTGACTCAATTGTGAAGCTTACAGGATGGACACAAGAAACTACCTTCCAAAAGCATTACAACAGACAGCTGACAAAAAAGGGCCAAAATCTAATGGACTTGCCAACACCCAGCAGCAGCTGCGCGCGAGGCACTTCCTTGTGCAGATCCATTCAGGGGCCAAAATAAACTTAATGACGCATTTTCTGAAAGAACCAGGGTTGAACCTACAGCTGGACATTGGCAATAGAGTCATTCTGAGCAGGAAGAGAAAGATCAAAGTGCCAATCCCAGGGGACGGAATTGCGTTGCAGACTTGAGCATGCGGAAAGCAGCACAAAACTGCTGAAAAAAGTGACGCATGTTTTACAACAGCAGCTGTGTATTGAAGTGTAAATAAAAAATGTTTTCCACCAAAACTGTTGGGAAAGCACTCAGTTTTCTTCAAGTGAAAAACATGCTCGACACATTTAACTCAAGAATAAAAACAAATTCAATGCTTAAAAGCACATGAAACATCTTGGACTTTGAATCCAATTCTAAAGATTTGCAGTGAAGAGAATTAGATAGGGTGTAGGAACAAACCCCCAGGCAAGGGCACCATTAGCCTGGGGAAGGTTACTACTTACCTAACTCAATTCTCTTTGCTCTCCCAAATCAATAAAAAGATCCCAACCCGTTCCTAAAAGATCAGCGGATCCACATCCAAGATCCCGCTAAAAATCTGAGGATGGGGGATCCCGGTATCTACATACTGGTCAGTATTCACAGTGAAGAGAATTGAGTTAGGTAAGTAGTAACCTTCCCCAGGCTAATGGTGCCCTTGCCTGGGGGTTCATTTATTTCATCTCAAAAAAGTGAATTGATGAAAAGATTCTGTTTAAGTTCTCGAATCTGAAAACCTTACAATTCCCATCATGAACTAGAAAAATTAGGAGGTCAACTTAATGTGATCCCTGCAGCCCTCCCTGCACCCCCTCAGGAGGTTAAGATGCACTCAGTAAGAGAATTGAAAAAATATGTACTGCTGACAGTCCATTAGAGACTGTCAGAAGTATAACTGCTGTCTTGAATCCTAATCTAACAGTGATAAATCTCAGCAAAGAGGCTATCAATGACTCCCAATTACTCCTGTTTTCAAAGCAGCTTAATTAAGAACTTAAGATCAAAAAGTGCAACTTTGCTGGCGGCATGAGGGTGAGACAGTCCTTGGTCAAAACAAATTAAGCTTAGACCAAATCACTGAACCAAGCAAAGACAAAGAACCCTGAGAGGTGAAGATGGATATTTGAATCAAAATTAGATCATGTTTCTAGTATGATTTCCTTTGTTCTTTGTTTTTTCTTTGAAGGATGTCTTCAACAGATTATGCAGCAATCATCATTCTTATTCAAGAGGCTATCCAAAAAAAACCATAGTGACAATACTTTGCGGTAACCAAAGTTGCCTTTGTTCAACAACCATCAAACACACCCATCAGCAAAAGAAAACAAAAGTTCCATCCTGAATCTTAAATAATATATCGTCAGAGTTTGGTAACGAAATCCAATCATTTTGATGCACTTGCAAGAAAATAAATTAAGCTGAAACAGTTCCAACTTCAGCAGGTCAGAAAAAATAAACAAAAAATTAAGAAGCATGGCATCATATCAGATCCAAAGCAATAACATTCCCAGGATCAAAAAACAAGAAAAAAGTCTGAAGAGCACACAAAAACCCAATAATAATAAACAACAATTCGTGGTAACTTCAGGTGATCAGCAGCTCCAAAAATTAGCTGGATAACAGAGATATGCAACAAACAAAAAAAACATGTCATACATCATCAGTTCCCCACAACCAGGCCCCTGGGCCGTCTGACAAGTGGCAAAGGAGGATTATTCAACTCCAACACTGGAAAATCAGGCATTCGTCTTGCTTGTGGCTCTAGGACTCGTCTGAATTCTACTGCAGCAAACATGGCTGCCCCCTGGGGCTGCTCTGGTTGATTGTTGTTGTTGTTGTACGCGAATGTTGGGGCTTCAATCCTTTCTGCTCCCATGACAGCAGAGTCCAATGGTGTCTGTGCGTGATGATGACCAGGAAAGCTCTGGAATTGCATCCAGAAAACTCTTGGTACAAAAACCTCTCTTGGACTAGTCTTATTTACACAATAAAACATATGACATGTGACTTAGTTATAAAAGTTTTAACTAACGTTTTATAAAAGTGTAGTCTGGTCGGATTTTAGTCAATCTATAAAAAAGGACCATAAGAGTCTAAAATATTATTGTTGGAAAAAAAGAAATCTTTTCCACAAAAAATTAGCTTCAATCAGCACCAATATTTCCATACTTTGAGGAAAGGTTTGTAGAACCACTTTGGAGCATGTTTGTCCTTGATTACAGCTTCCATTCATGCCACAAGAGCCAGATAGTCATAGTTGGGATCCAAAATTTCAGACCAAGTCTGTCTAAGCAAATTTCAACCTGAAGAATCTTTTAAACATTCCTCAAAAACAGGTTTTCTTTACTTGCATTTTGAAATTTGTTACAATACAAGATAGATTTAAGACATACTCCTCGCAGCAAATTATACAAAACTTTTCCAAGGACTGGCTCATCATAACAGTTTCATAAAGTTTTGGCACACTCAAAAAGCATTGCTTGTCAAACTTCATGGCAGACACTCAAAAAGTTTCTCCTTCTTTGCAAAGATCAAAAACCAATGAAGTAGTAAGGACTGGCTCATCATAACAGTTTCATAAAGTTTTGGCACACTCAAAAAGCATTGCTTGTCAAACTTCATGGCAGACACTCAAAAAGTTTCTCCTTCTTTGCAAAGATCAAAAACCAATGAAGTAGCTATACAGCATACATTGGTGATATTTCTTCCAAAAATTAGCAAGGTTTCTCAGCACAAAAAAGGAAAATAAATGATTTCCACCCGTGTCTGAAGTGTTATTCGGAGGAAATCCAACTCCTACTTTTTTTTTTTATCAGATATTTGAAATTACCAGTACAGTATTTTTCCAACATTTTTCAAGAAGAATACAGCAGAGTTTCATTTGCTGTACATTACTTTTGATAAATTTGTCAAGCAGACATTTTTCTGCAGACCACGGGTTGGGGAACACTGCTCAATACATCTTGGGCTTGCTGATGGAACTTGAGAAGAAGTCAATTATACTGAGAACATTTTTCTAACAATAAGACTTCAGCACTGTGTCATCCACACAAAAAGAACTAGTGTTAATTTATATACCTGCAGGCCGTCATCCTCATCATCTTCGCGTCCACCAGACATTTGATACGCGAGGAAATCCGCCTGATCCAACGGCTCGATGTTTGCTGGCCCGAAATCAGTGTCCAAGTAGCTCAGGGTTCTTTGCCGAGGTGGTCACCATCGTCATCATCTTCGCGTCCACCAGACATTTGATACGCGAGGAAATCCGCCTGATCCAACGGCTCGATGTTTGCTGGCCCGAAATCAGTGTCCAAGTAGCTCAGGGTTCTTTGCCGAGGCGTGCGTTGCGAGTAAAGGTCTTGTTCATCAGCCGTGTCTTTGATGCCGCTGCTGCTGTCATCCATCGGCAGCATTGACGAGACCTCGCCGTCGTGCTGATGCTCACGATCCCTAGGTGTCGCTGCTGCTGCTCCGCTTTTCTCCGGCTCCCCAGCTGATGTCAATAACATTGCTGCTCCACCACCAGCTCCAACTTCATCATCCTGTTGTAGTTCTTGTTCTTGGTCGTCTTCTTCTTCATCATCATCTCCGTTGTTGTTTTCTGTTGTTGGGGTCGAAGGCCAGGAGTCGGTGGAGTCGGTATTGCTGCTCGCATCTGCATCCGTCCCTGCAGTACATCTGCTTGTGCTCGTACCTGCAATGTTTTACACAGCATAACATCAGGGTAAAATCTCTTCATTACAACAATCAATAAATGACATCATTATTATATATACAGGCTGCACATTTTTCAGTGATCAAACAAATAACTTTTCTTCAAGTCCTGTCATGAAAAAAGCTCATATATACAATGTGAGACCCCCAGATGCGGAGATATTTGGTGCATCATGAGTGTCCCTAAGTTGAATTGTCCTCAAGCCAAATCTTGCTTTCCTATAGACATACATTATAGAATTTTTAATAGATGTTTTTTGGAAGAAATGTTCTTCAGAATTCCATATGAACAAAAAAAAAATTTGTTTGCCACTTGAATTTGATTCTAGGAATACATTTTCAACCCAATAAGAACATTTGGAGCATAGAATAGTATACTGCTGTGCAGTTCATCAAAATGTTGGCATCTGTATAAAAATAACATCCAAAGTCACAAAGAGAGACTAAAGTCTCTCTGTGCTATAGGTAATTTTTTAATTAGCTGAATGGATGGGAAAGTGATGGGATAAGTACCAAGGCATTTTTCTTGCAGAGTTCTTAGGGTTGGAAATATCTGTCTCTGAATTTCAATTAAGCTTAATAAATGTCAATTTTCCTAAAATTGTTTTAAAATGTTATTGTGCTATGTCCTCATGTCAAGTCTGTGTCTGTATGTTGGGCGTCTTTTCTGATTATTCATTGAAAAATAAATGTCCCCAAGTCAAGGTGTCTGCATGTGGGGGTCTCACAGTTTATGGTTTTGGAAAGACTCTCTCAAGAATCTTAGAGGATCAAGATAATCTCTGTTAACCTTGTATGATTTCTCTTGAGAGATTCTCTCCAAATGTTTTAATCAACTAAACCTTATCTGCAGATGAGGATCCGGTTGAACACCTTTTGTGCTTTAACCCTTCTGTGGCTAAGTCGGACTTTTTTTGCAGATTTTTGTGGCACTCCAGAGTGGAATTAAAAAAAACCCCCAACAGTGTGTGCAGGGCAAAGTCAGGAAAAATCCTGGCATTTTTTTAATTTTCCACAGAAAAAATTCACCTGAAAATGAAAAAAAATGAAAGCTTCAAGGCTCCCTTTTTTTTCTCTGGCCTTGTGTTGTTTCCCCATTCAAAGATTAAATTTAAGCTTGAAAGCCAGGAGCCCAGGTTGGAGGTCAATACCAAAAAAGTCCCACTCAGGACTTTCCAAGCATTTCATTATCCCCGGAAAAAATCCAACTTTGCCCTCCCCCACCCGGCAGGGGTTGCATAACCTTGTGCAAAAATATAATGCACCCCCATCAGGAAAAAGTCTGACTTTGCCCTGGGATGGAAAGAAGGCTGCCGCCATCCAAGGGTTAATTTTGGTTCATTAATTGCTTTATGCCACAATTCTTATTACTGATATTTACTTTTTCATCAGGGAAAGTAAATATCAGTATGCACTGTTTGGGATCCATTTTATTTTCTTTTAATATCCATGTGAAGCTTGTTTCTCTGTTTTCCATTCTGATGGGAAGAATGTGTTTGGATGAATGTGGTGTGGGGAGGGGGAGGGGATTTGGATGTGGGAACATTGCTTGAACCTTATTGTGAACACTGAAAAGTAGAAAATAAAGCTTGCTGGTCAATTCAATTCAATACACAATGAAACAATCTGATGACAACTCATTTCCCAATTTCCATGTGTGAGAAATATTTTTGAGGACTCATGCTCAATATAGATTCTCAAGGTGGAAATTTCCTGAACAAGGCAGGCACATCAGTCTGAATTTTCATAACATGTTTCAAAGTGGTTATCAATAGTCACATCCTCCTCCCAGAATAAAGATAGATGATGTAACTAATGAAAAGCATGACAGAAGCTACGTTTTTGTTCAAAATAGAATGAGCCAATTTTTCAAACAATAATAGAATAGAGAGATAATGCAAAAAATTAGGATCTAATTGATGAAATTCAGATCTGATGAGAGTATTTTTTCCATTCATTAATTTTGAAAATCTCTTCATAACAATTTATTCAATATAACAAGCTTTCCTGACAAAGTTGCAAGCATTTCTTGCAGCAACAATGCATATTACAGTCAACCCCCGTCAAACAGACTTGATTTGTGCAAGGGACAAGTCTGTTAGACAAAAAGTCCTTTACATGAATTCAATTACATAAAAAATTAAAAATTTCAATTTTAAACTTTTCAACACTAATTTTAAACCAAAAGAAGTCTGTTTGGTGGATTTTGTCTGTTGGGCGGGAGGAAAAACTGCTTGCAGAGCTGGTGTGTTAGGCAAAAATCCCTTACACGGGAGGTCTGTTAGGCGGGGGGCCACTGTATTGTATAGTTGCATACACCTCTTGATCAAATCCATCATTGATTGAGGTGAGAAAAATGAATGAACACTGACTCCAAAATGACAAAATGTTATTGTATACAGTACTCACGTGCACTTTTCCCAATGAATGAATTGCTCAAATGGATAGAGATTCAGCAGTGCCAGCACTTCTCCTCTTGTGTTGTTTGCCCAATAAGGAGCAACCACCTCTTCCTTGATTGGACAGGCATTTCTGAAAAAAAAAAATGAATGCAATTTGCCATCATTGGGGTTGTATGACTTGTATCAAATTTGAACCTTCCCAAGTCCTTGTCTGAATTCCTTTAGAAAGACTGAATTTAAAAGCCTTCTCAACTTCAAATGCTTCTCCTTCCCTCAAACCTTGACTGTGGAAGAAAATGCATGTATTCCTGGAGGGATATTAAGTTTCGAATTTTGTGTCTCCAGGTTTGTGTTCTTGTGCTTTCCTTTTCTTGCCTTCTTCTTTTACAGCAGGTTTTGGTCAAGGAGACCGGGAAGGGATGCTGCTGAGGGGACAGAAGTCTCCTGCGCAATTTTTGGAAAGATAAATCATCTACTGCTTTCCTGGTTTCCTGCTGGAGTCATTCACTTCATAATACACAACTCCACAAGTTTTCGAACAAAGTGAAGATTGAGGACTGCAGGACAACAGTTCTCCATTTTCACTTGACATCTAAAATTGTCTGCAGGAATTTTTGGTATTTTTCATTGACACAGGAATGGGAAATCAATGATGAATATTCTTTGGAACAAAGTGAAAGACTGATTGGACAAATGAACCCTTGCCTCCAACTTCAGTATCATGTCAACTCATTCAAGAAGCAACACAAGGCCCAGAATATCACCAATTACAGATTCCCTGAAATTGTTTATCATTTTATTCCTTGAACAAAAATGCATGCTTCCCTAATTTCTTGAAGTTTTGAATACAATGACTCACACTCCTTTCATCTTGTGGTATTTGTTGTTGGGTCTTTGTGATGTTTTCACTGGCATTGGGGTTTCAGTCACTGTCTCAGAAGTTGGCTGGTAGTCATCATCATTTGTCACTGCAATGGGTCTCCTTCGCTCTTCCAGCACTACCTCTGTCATGTCCATCAGGGGTTCTGTGCTTTCTGTGGCCTCGCCACCTGGTGACTGTGTTCTTCTACCTGAATTAAATAAATAAAGTCACTACAGGGTGTTCTCAATAATTGTTACCAAGCAAGTGCAGTACAGTGCTGTTCTATATATAAGTATAATTCAGTGAAATATTGTTACAATAAACTTCTGGGGACTTTGGAAAAAGTTTTTTACACTGAAAAATTTGTTAAAACAAAAATTTTACAAATAGATGATTGGGAAACATTTTCACAACACACTTCCAAACTTGATTAAATATATCATGTTTTTTGGAAATTTTAGATTAAAAAATTATATTTCGATCAACTGAATGATCTTCTGAAATCATATTGATTACAGCTCGCATCCATGATTATAAGAACCAGCCTTTTAGATTCAGGATTGAAAATTTCAGGATGAGCCTGCCCTAATCAGGAAATTTTTTTTTCTGGAAAATCTTTTAGCCATCCCTTCAAAAAGTCTTTTACACTGAAATAGGCCAGTTTCTTATAAATATACTGTATTAAAAAAATCTCTATGAGTTTTCTGCTGGGATAATGCGGTGTTTGTTATACTGAAAATTGTATTTTAATGGTATTCGTTGTAGTGATATTTCACTGTAAACCCACCAGTCACAGCAGCTGTAGTTGTGGGAAAGTCTTCCTCATCCTCATTACTTCCATTGCCTCCTCCAGTAGTTGTCTCCAGCAAGGTAACAGATGCAGTGGTGTGGAATGCAGTGACATTTCCCAATAAGGTACTGCTGTTGTCAACTAAAAAGGATGCTGCTGTTGGCAGAGTTGTGGCCAGTGGACCCACAGCTTCCTCAGATACAGTCACTGTACCACCACCACCAGCACCACTACTGCTAGTGAAACTCTCATTACTGTGTCCTGATGGAGATGTGGTGATGGGTGTGGTGCTACTCCCCACTGGTGTGGCCCATGGTTGCTCACTATATAGCAAAATACAAGAAACAAGACATTGAACAAGTTTTGCATTGTTATATAGTTGAACCTCTTCAGTAGGTGAAAGTTCAAGGGACCAAAAAAAATTTCCCTTATAGAGATTTTTAGTTAGGGAAACTGCCAAATTTGCCTTGTAAAACATTGAAGAAAGTTGACATGAATGATCCTTCTCAGCCAGAAACTGACTGGCAAAGAAGCTGAATAATGAGCAGGCAAGGGTTAATTTACCCAGTTATTTACACACTTCTTCTCAGAAAACATCAGATCACATTTTCATTGCTTTTTTTATTTCCTGGGTCACAAAGATTATTGCCAAAATACCTCCAGAAGATTTAAGTTACATGGGGAGGCCACGATTTAGGTATATTTAACAGGTGAACTCTCTGTACAACAAGTTTTCCATTATTGGAAAGGGTTTTCTCCCGTGTTAAATAATTTGCCTACATCAAAAGTCTCTTCTAAATTATTTTTTTCTGATCTCTTGAATTTTTTCTGAGGAGAGTCCATACATGTATCACATTATTGTTCCTCAGGGAATGTGTCAGAAATGGACCTGAAGCCCAACTGTACCTGCTGGTATCTGGATTTCCACCAAGTGGCACCACTTCTGGCACAGGCTCCTTCTCAAACTGGTCATACTTGTGATGAGACTGGTGTCCAAAGGAGAACTTGTTCTGCTGTCCAGGGACTGAAGAGTGAACATACTGAACTTTGGCTATGGCTTCCAACTGGGCAGTTGGCAACATTCCCTATATAGCAAAGCATTCAAACACGTCATGAAGGATGCATATATTGCCTGAAAGAAAATGAAACCAACCTGGAACCTGACTTCCCCTCCTTCTTCTCTGGTGGTGGACATGGATGAGGAGGAACCACCACCATCCCCACCACCAGCCAGTGATGGTTTCTCTTCATACGTGGCAACAATGTGGTTGGCTGTCAAGTGGTTCTGCTGGTCCCTGCGAAGCAACTCCCTTCCCCTGCGCTGCAGCAAGTGTGGTTCATCACTCATGTACCTGTCCATCCTGACAAAAAAAAATAGATTGAACCTCAATAACTCAAACCTACCTGAATCAAATATTGTACATCTTTCTGTATATAATTTGATTTCAAGTCCCAATACCTCAAAGAATACATTTTTGAGAAGACTTATCCCCAACTCAAACGCTGTCTCCTCAAAATCATCAATATCTCAGATTTTCTGGTGAACTTTCAACTAATTATTTCATTCACAAAAAAAAACATAAATTACATAACTGGATATGGTTTGAAAATAATTGAAGGACTAATTGGGAAAATTTGATCTCTCGCCTCCAACTTCAGTAGCCAGTCAACTCATGGAAAAGGCAATTGAAGGCCTAGGGTGTTACCAATTACAGGGTGTCCTGTATTTCTTTTTTCTTTCTTCCAAAAAATGTTTTTCTCAAACAAGTTTTTTTTCCTGGTCCTTTGAATTTTGACTTGAAGAAGAGGTTCAACTGTCTATACATAAATAAAGAAAAATTATATTCACAACCAATGTTTTTAGCATAAAAAAATTATAATGACTTTTTTGGTTGTAGCAGTTTCTTCACAAGAATACCTCATTTCAACAAACTGATTTTCAGTTGAAATCTCAGTGCAACAAATTTATTGACCTGTTTCTATGAGTGTAAATTGACACCCCTGCATATTGCTAATAATTCCCTAATAATTTAATTATTTTAGTGTTAAGAAAAAGACCCTGTCCTAAATGAAATATAAGCCAGAATTTGAGAAATTAAAACAGATATTTTTAGAGATATCATTAGTTTATAAATGAGAATCACATGCCCATGCTCAGGATGATTAAAAACAATTATTTTAAAATAATCCCAGAGTTACAGATGTCTTTGTGTGGAATTGTTTGAATTTCCTTCACATCAGCAAAGAGCATATCACTAATTCGAATAATCTTTAAAAAAAATTCAAAATGCCCTCAACTTGATGTTGGAATTCTGCGCTTTCATGGAAAGTTTGATATACCATTGCAAAAAACAGTTCCACTCTTTCAATAATTGACCCAATTCATGTGCATAAATAGAATATTTCATTTGCCTTACATAGATTGAAATGCAGTAAAAATAAAGTCCACTTCAGCCTCAAATCATTTCCTGTGTCTTTTTATCTCTTACAATTCAGACTGAATGGTCTGAAAATTCAGCAAAAAACCTATTTTACCTGTAGCCAAAGCCCCTGAATTGCATTTTTATCTAAAAGAATAACCTTAATTTTGTGCCGCCCTTCCTTAGTACCACAAAATATGCCAGAACAAATAATGACATTCATGTTTGGACTGTATGTATGTGTCTGTGTACATATTCAACAGTGTCATACAAGTGGACCATTGGTTAATCAACTTAATTGGTTCCAGACAAAAGTTTGTTAACCAGCTAATTTAATTTTCCTATAGATTTCCAAGGGGGGAAATTTAATGCACTCTCCTGTGAACCCAGAAGAACATTTGAACACTGAATCAAACAAATTTTAAGACCATTGTAGTCATATTAACAACCACAACACCCTTCAATTTACGCACGACCCTTTTAAGCTAATGTATTTCTGCTACGCTTGGCTGCGCCTGGTGCGCTAGCAATTATATTTCACAATCCTGTTGTTGACGGAATACTTTCCCAACCGCACTCACGCTTCCTTCCTTTAAATAAACAAAGCATGACGTCCCTGATCTGAATCGGTTTCTATGAGCGTTCTTCGACCTCGGCCAGCCAAAGCTATATATACAGGTGCATTTTATGTTGCATTAAGTTTACTGCACCAGACCTTGTCCAAACGCCAAATCTACGCCGCTTTGCTCTCGGTAGAATTGTTGTATTGACTGTGTGTGAAGATAGAATAAAATATCATTTGCAATACTCTCACGGAGTAACTTTTGCATTTCCTTCGAAAGTCGAGGAAAACGATTTAAATCTCCAATCCCCTTTTCCTTTAATTATTAAGAAGTAGTTCTCAATAACTGATCATCGTTGATCACCAACTTCTGTGAAATAGTTTTTGTATAACACCATCAACTACAGTATTTTCAGAATAAGTTACTGCTGCTGCATCCTATGTATGTACCCAGAATATTTTCACAGTTTTGTATAAAAGTAGCACTGCTCTAAACATAAAGATGAAGAACCTTGCACATCATCCAGAGAAACACACACTTACTGAGCTATACATGTCAGGTGATGATGCAATTTTTTTTAATGCTGCGAGTAAAGATAGAATATACCTTTCTAACAATTGAACAAGTGAAGAAAAAAAACTATAACCACAGCAAGCAAATAATTTTTTCGAAGAAAAGCTCATGAATAACATGGCTAAAATAAATGTTTAAGCACAATATTACACACATCAGAGGGCCAGGATGAATGCGTATACTGTATATTCACATCGATACATAGGTGAATAAATTGCACTGGTATTGTGCCATTGAAGTGGGGCAGTACCTCAAGTCAGCCACACCGTCCACCACGTCGCCCAAGACTGCAGTGTCCACCATCATGAGTCGTGGCTCACGAGACGACCCCTGCTGGTCTTGATGCTGTTGTTGTTGTTGTTGTTGGCGTCTCGCCGCATGAGTCCATGGTTCTCGTACACGAACCGCCTCACTGCTTGCCTTGTGTGGTTCATTCGGGAGAATGAGAAAAACAAAACATTCGAAAAATATAGTGAAACATCTTCATGCAAAAAAACAACAACAACAAAAAACAAGCAAGGGAACCTGGGAAAAAATTCGTTCAATTGAGATTAAAAGTTTGAAAATCACAAAGGGGTCCCACAATATTCTGAAGGAAATGGGTTATGAATATTGTCAAGTGCTTCCAAGGTATTTGGATTCTTGAAAATTTGAAGCCAATAACAATTCAAGACATTCACCATTTGTGTCAGGAACTTTTCCAGACAGAGACTATTTTCTCGGAGAAAAGGGCGTCCTCGGCAGCCAGGAGCTCTTCCCGCAGCACCGACCCCTGGCGCACGTCCCCGTACATCCGCCGCATGAGTCCATGGTTCTCGTACACGAACCGCCTCACTGCTTGCCTTGTGTGGTTCATTCGGGAGAATGAGAAAAACAAAACATTCGAAAAATATAGTGAAACATCTTCATGCAAAAAAACAAAACAAAAACAAGCAAGGGGAGATTTAAAGTTTGAAAATCACAAAGGGGTTCCACAATATTTTGAAGGAAATGGGTTATGAATATTGTCAAGTGCTTCCAAGGTATTTGGATTCTTGAAAATTTGAAGCCAATAACAATTCAAGACATTCACCATTTGTGTCAGGAACTTTTCCAGACAGAGACTATTTCAAAATATTTCAGGACAGGGACAATTTGAGATAGGGACTATTTGAGACAGGGACTATCTAAGATAGGGACTATCTGAGATAGGGACTTCTTGAGACAGGGACTATTTGAGACAGGAACTATTTGAGACAGACTATTTGAGGCAGGGACAATTTGAGACATGGACTATTTGAGACAGAAAACAGATCCTGTTTGAGACATAAAAACTTAGAGATATATACAATTTGAGATATATCAAAACTTTTTAGGAAAGGGACTTTCAGAGAAGAGACTATTTGAGACAGAAACATTTAAAGACAGAGACTATTTGAGACATTTGAAAACCTTTCAGGAGAGGGACCATTAAAGACAGGGAATACATTATTCAAGCCACAGACAATTTGAAAGAGATACTGGTTAAGACAGAATAATTTCAAGCCACACTATTTGAGACACTTCCAACTATTTCAAAAAAGGGACTATTTTAGACATCCATGTTTGCTACATAAGCTCTGCATCATGTTTCAAGATTATTTACAATTTTGATGATTGTATTTAGTTTGAGAAGTATGATGCAATACTTCATGGACATAACAAGAGATTCATCATCAGGTCTTTCAAAATATCAATAACTTTACCTTGCTCCCATTGCTCTCTTGGTACATTTTGAAACAGTTCTATTAAATATTTGATGATTCAAAAGTTGAACAGATTTCAAAAAAAAAAGGACAAGAAGTGAATGATGATGAAGATGTATGTGAAGCTTAAGTCTTGTTTTTGCTGTCTCTAATTCTCCCCAGCTCTCAACGTCTCTGACTGAAATTGACTTTAAATCAAAATGGCCCTGTATTAAATTGTCCACCATGGCATTGTATGTCTTGAATATTCCATAACCTAAAAAAAATGCTCATCAATTGCAGATATATCGTGATTTCTAACAATTTTTATGAAATTCAAGGGAAACACATTCAAGTGATCTCTTATCACAAATGATGAACCTTCCTTGCTTCAAATTTCCAAATAAAATATGCTGAACTTGTTGAATAAAATTACAAAACGGAGACATAAGAATAACTGAACTGCTGCACATAATGAGCATTAAAAAAGAGCAATTGCCAAAACTTTTAAGGAGCAAAAATATATGCTAACAGAAACACCATGTTCAATGTATTCTGCAAAAATGAATTTTCTTTGCAGAAAGCTTCTATGTTGCACAATTTATATTTCTCACTTTTTAGTCATGGAGAAGTTCCGTGATCCTCATGACTTATGCATAGAAATGGGGGCAAACATTTGTTCCATATACTGCATATTGAAAGTGAGAATGAGTTTGTTAAAACAGGATTATTTTAAAACGGCTCCTACATGAAAAAGTATTTTCAAATGAAGACAATCATGCTTCACACAATAAAAATGAATTTGTAGCCTTTTCTAGCCCCAAAAGGAATGGATACCAGGAAGGTAAGCTCAAAAACTTCATATTATCACTTTAATTTCCAACTCACAATCATCAGTAACAGTTTGAACTAATTATTTCCAAGAATAATGTGCACAGGTTTGCAAAGTTTAGCACATTTGTTTTGTGAGCATCTGGAACAAACAAACTTTTTTTTTTTTTTTTTACTCATGACTTGAACAAAAGCATGTTTTCAATTCAAAAAGAGCAAAACGCATTTTTAAATTAATTAGATTTTTTATGCAGAATAAAGACCCACCATTTGACAAAAACCACATCTCATCAATTTGTTTTTGCCTGTTTCATTACTGCATTTCAAGTATATGTTTGTGCTTGTTTTTCTTTTCTTCTTCTTACCATGGATATGCTTCACCAGGCACATTGCAAAAGTTGTCACCAGAGCTCTGGAAGTCACAGGGCAAGTCCTGCTGGTGGACAAAGTGCAGGTGCTTCGGCTCTCTTCCATCTGTGCCTCCACTCTGTCCACAGGACATGTACTGGTCATATCCCTGGATCTCTCGCAACAGACTCGCCACCAACAACAACACCGCCACAGCCTGCCAACAAAACAATAAAGCAAACAAGCACTTGAATAAAAACATGGTATTGAAGAATCAAATGAGTAATTAAATGGATGAAAAAAAGGAATTCAATAAAGAACCAAATAATCACACAAACAATTAAACAAAAAAAGTACATTAATTAAAAAAACAGGCAATTAATGGAACAAGCAAGTGATTATATGAACAGATAAGTAATTAAATGAGCAAACAAGTAATAAAGTACATAAATAAGGTGATTCAGCAAGCAAACAAGCCGTAAAAACAATGAGTGTTTTGAAAACATGTAAGTTATATTTGAAAAAAGTTATGAAATGCACAAATAAAAAAATATGCACAAGACAAGTAGTCGTCTTTAATTTTTGCACATGCCCAAAAGAAATTGCAGCACTCATGTCTATCCAAGATTCATGAAGTAACATATGCTTGCAGGTGAGTTTACAAAATTTTCAAACTTCCCATATGACTCAGTCTCAACAAAACAATATCCAACTTTGCTAATCATTTTCAACTTTAAATCACAATTGCCCTCATATTTCTTCAAGTAAATTACACTTTCCTCATTATGTCATCAATCTCATACTGCTGAATGTGTCTTAGTCAAACTTCAAGTGGCTAAATAGAAAATCCAAATTTTTAAATTACAGGATTAGACCTGATTTCATAGTTTCATCAATTGACCTCATTATTCCTGGCAAACCTTTGAAAGAGTTCATTGTACCCAGTTTTAACCTATACTTGCAGGAAGTCTCCAAATCCCTCATAGAAAGCATTTGAATAAATGAGAATTGCTCAAGGCGTGGATGCAATCATAGAGTATCTCATTGCAATGAGAGTTTCAAAATTATAATGACGTGAAAATATTTTCAATTCACACCTGCCTGTAATCAATTATATCTTGCGTTTCTTCTCAGATATTTTATCATTGATTGCTTAAAAACTGAGTGATCTCAGAAAAGTTTAACTTTAATCATGCATTCCATCAGCTACACCAATTGCTTCAATCTGGAAGGATAGGATGTGAGGAAGCATATTCAGAAACATTTTTTTTTCATAGCTTTCAGTTTATAACAAGATTACAGGAAGCAGTCAGTCATATTTGGGATCAGACTCTGCCTGACTAAGTCAGGAAATTCCCACCTCACAAACTTATTAAGCATTCCTTTAAATGTTCATCACACTGTATTTTGTAAGTTTGTTATGATGAAATTAGTTTGTCATCAAATATTAATATGAGTGTCCTGGGATAGGTTTATAATGACGCTTCCTATCTTTTCTTTTCGTACGTCCCAAAACGTAACAATACTTTCTTGCTTAGCAACTCAGATCCGAATCTGAGGAGGTCATGACTCGTACTTTTACAGTGTCTGGTTTACGGTCATTCCCTGTCCCTGTTTCTGTTTTCCAGACTGAATTGCATCATGCATGTCTGGTTTATTCTGAATCTATTTAAGGTCTGCAAAGTGTATATTTGGTATTCATTGTCGGTCTGGCGTTTGTTGCAGTCACATAGAAATATACGTACTCACGTCTTTATAAACGAGAAGTCTTATTCACTTAGAAACTTGGGCTATAGGAAAGAAATCTTCTCGTCAAAAGTTTATTCTTGGAAAGTAAATCTTTATTAGATTAGATTAGTTGCGTCCAGAAGAAGACGTTCTTCTTGAACTGCGATAGTGTCTTTTATTGATTTTTCCCAAATAAGGATAACAAGTTTGACATATACTCATGGTCAGTCTGATTTGGGACTAAAAAGAGGCCTTATAATGAGAATGTATTCTATTTGTTTTGCAAGGAGATTTTAGTATATTACCAAAAGAAAAAAAGAAAAATTTGACAAATGGATGGTTAATTTGAAAAATAATTTATAAGTTTTGCAGACATTACAGAACACTGGCATGTACAGTGAGACCCCACATGCAGACAATTAAACATAGAGACACTTATTTTCCCCTAAAAATTGAAGAAAAAACGCCTGACATGAGGACACAGACTTGACATTAGGACTCTTCCCATATGACTCAGTCTCAACAAAACAATATCCAACTTTGCTAATCATTTTCAACTTTAAATCACAATTGCCCTCATATTTCTTCAAGTAAATTACACTTTCCTCATTATGTCATCAATCTCATGCTGCTAAATGTGTCTTAGTCAAACTTCAAGTGGCTCTATAGAAAATCCAAAATTTTAAATTACAGGATTAGACCTGATTTCATAGTTTCATCAATTGACCTCATTATTCCTGGCAAACCTTCAAAAGAGTTCATTGTACCCAGTTTTAACCTATACTTGCAGGAAGTCTCCAAATCCCTCATAGAAAGCATTTGAATAAATGAGAATTGCTCAAGGCGTGGATGCAGTCATAGAGTATCTCATTGCAATGAGAGTTTCAAAATTATAATGACCTGAAAATATTTTCAATTCACACCTGCCTGTAATCAATTATATCTCGCATTTCTTCTCAGATATTTTATCATTGATTGCTTAAAAACTGAGTGATCTCAGAAAAGTTTAACTTTAATCATGCATTCCATCAGCTTCACCAATTGCTTCATTCTGGAAGGATAGGATGTGAGGAAGCATTCAGAAACATTTTTTTTCATTGCTTTCAGTTTATAATAAGATTACAGGAAGCAGTCAGTCATATTTGGGATCAGACTCTGCCTAACTAAGTCAGGAAATTCCCACCTCACAAACTTATTAAGCATTCCTTTAAATGTTCATCATACTGTATTTTGTAAGTTTGTTATGATGAAATTAGTTTGACATATACTCATGGTCAGTCTGATTTGGGACTAAAAAGAGTCCTTATAATGAGAATGTGTTCTATTTCTTTTGCAAGGAGATTTTAGTATATTACCAAAAGAAAAAAAGAAAAATTTGACAAATGGATGGTTAATTTGAAAAATATTTTATAAGTTTTGCAATGTAATGTCTTGTGACCGTACATGTCACTCTGGGGTGTACGTCTGTTAATTTGTATCTCTGTGAATAAAAGGGGATTTTTAACTTCTTTTTTGCGGACTGTACTCCTGTGTCTGAACTGTAATCCTGATTTTATGATAAAAGTGTCAGGCCAAATTAAAAGAAACAGATATTTCCAACCCTAAAATTGATGTAATAACAGTTTTTGGGCATTTCTCTCATCATGCAATTCACCATCCATTTAGCTAATTTTAAAAATTACCTCCAGTATAAATGGACTTCCTTCTCTCCTTTTCACGCTTGATTGTTCTTTTTACATAGAATGCCAAAATGTATATGTACTGTACTTTACAGAGGTATATCAGCATTCAATTCACCAAATGTCCATATTGTGTTGAAATACAGTACAGTATATTGATTGATTCAGTTTCAATTGGGAAACAATTTTTATTTTCATAAAATTATGGGTATTATTTTGTCCATAAAACACCAATTGAAAATTGTATCATGTAAATCTTAGGGAATTTATACTTGACTTGGGTACATTTTGACTTAGGGGCACTCTTGATGCACCAATTACATCATTAAGTCCTGGGCATCTGGGGTTCTCAGTGTACCCAAAAGAATACTGCATCTGTATTCCCTCTCTTTTTTCTCAGAAAAAATAAGGAATTTCCACTGCATATATGTATGGTACACTATGCACACAGCAGCTCACAGGAAATGCAATTGGTCTGGGGTAAAAAGGAGAAAGGAATGCGTCCATCTCTGGAAAAAGTCGCTTCCGGTTACAAAACAAAAAACTCCATTGTTCCTCATCCCTCGTCCCGGGTTTTCCATTTTCGGTGCTGCGTCTCTTTATTTCTTGTCGCAATCTTGCCCAACCCAACACCAAAAACAGTCACTTCCCCCGAATATGAAACGCGGGGATTTTCGGGTTCGACTCCTTATCCTTCCCTCGAAAGTGAATTCATTTTAAATCATTTCCTCATCATCCCCGTTCAAAACAGGGCCACGTAATCCTAAAACCGCGAATTCAGCTGCTACTCCTCTTCTCCTCTCAACAATATGATGCTGATAAAAAGAATAAGAACAACAGAATAAGGAAGGGAAAGAGAGCAACTTCTTCGTTTCTCTTCTACTTCACGAGAACCTCTGTCTGTCACTTGCTATACGGGGGCGAGAAGATCATCATGACGATGATGATGCTGGGAACAAGGAAGAGGACGATGACAACGAGAAGAGGAAGAACATCAAAAAGCAGCAGCTGTGCTCTACTTTCACATCAGCACACAGGACATGTAAGAAAGGCGCCTTTCACTGGGACCCTTCATCCAGCACCCCAAGGACCGCCACCAAAGCTGTCGGTCGGTCCCATCATCATCGGCACACGTCTGGCGGCTCGGCGCCCCGGATTGTAAAAAGCGCGATGAACCCACATTTTGGGTACCTTCACGTATACGAACGTTTCGTTTCCGAGCTCTCATCCACCTTGCGATCAATTCAAATTTCACTATTACTGCATCACTCGCAATCCGTTCACGTGGAATCCGATTTGATGACGATAGCGAAACGAGCACTTTGGATATTCTGAGCCTTGAATTCCTTTTTCTCGAAGGATGAGTCGAGTCAACGGGGTAGGGTTAATTTGCGCCTAATATATCATACTCCTTCAAAACACATCCAATCAAACTTTTCATTGCTCTTCTCTTTCCTTTTTCGGTTGATGAAATACTGTAATAGCCAACCGGCCTCCAAACAAAAAATCTGAGCTAGCTTCTCAGGTACGTTAGAGTTCGACGAGTTCTGGATGTGTTCAACGCATTTGTTTTCAATGAAGGACACGCATGGAGAACAACTCAGCAACGATCATCATCCAACATCATGTGAATAGGAATGCCCACAAGTTCAGAATATTCTACGCCACACATCCACTTGAACTTTTTCATTGCTCTTCTCTTTCTCTTCTTCGTCCATGGATTATTACCCAACCGGCCTCCGAACAGAAAATCTGAGCTACGGAGGCTTGAGATCAGGGGATGAAAGCGCGCCTTGGTGTTTTGGAAGTGTTCAACACGCGTCGTTTTCAAGGACACGCATGGAGAACAACTCAGCAATGATCATCATCCAACATCATGGGAATATAGGAATGCCCGCAAATTCAGAATATTACACGAAACACATCCAGTTAAACTGTTTCATTGCTCTTCTCCTCTTTCCCTTCTTATCGGTCGATGAAATAATAGCCAACCGGCCTCCAAACGGAAAATCTGAGCTATACGGAGGCTTGAGATCAGGGGATGAAAGCGCGCCTTATTGGAGTTCTGGAAGTGTTCAACACCCATCGTTTTCAAGGACACGCATGGAAAACAACTCAGGAATGATCATCCTACATCAACATCATGGGAATAGGAATAATGCCCACAAATTCAGAAGATTATATATACACACTCAAACTCTCATCATCAGAGGTATATAGGTCGGATGATGCTGAGTCTCCACGCGTACACAGTGATGATGATGCTGAGAAATAACGAACGGTCAGAGCAGAGTCCGGGCCCGGGAATGTGAAACCCGGCAAGGCAACCAGCTCGGCTTGCCTTTCATCTGACCCCAATAATGCCACAGGGGCAAGGGAGACAGGCTCCTCAGCAGTGGACTTCAAGTATAACGGGGCCCGCCTCAACGGCAGTGCCCACGTACCAACACCAACCAACACCACCGCGGGCTAGCGCCACCAACACGCAGGCGTGTGATCATCATCATATGTTTCTCACGATTTTTTTTTAGTATACACATAATACAACACAAAACATGTACAATAATGCATGAAAGCATTGCACTGAATTACTCACAGCGAAAGCGTTGAGGATGACTGGCGTGACGACGAAAGCCGGGCTCATGATCCCATATATGCACTCGGATGCGGGTCCTGGCCTGGTCACATATTTCTAATCTCTGGTACACAATCCTGCCCCAAACCTCACTTTCTTTTTTCAACACACCCAGTGAGCAAGAAGTTCTCCAAAAGATGTCTGAAACTCCTGCAAATGAGTATATGCATCAGTACAAGGAACATTTTTTTTGGCAAACATGTCCTAATAGGAAAGGGTGCTCTGGCAGAAAAGTTTGGAGAACTTTTGGACATGCTCTCCTATTTCATGTCATTGTCAAGGTATATAGCTTATAGAGAGTAACTGGACTTTGCAGAAAGGCATTTCTGCATCAATAACTGAAAGTTTATTTTTATTCAATCCTTCCAAATTTGGGATAACAAAGTGTTGAAAATAAAATTGACTAATTGCTGCTTCTGGAAATATTCAGTGAAGTGCATGTGTTGCTTGCCAAGATGAATGCAACTAAGGTATCAATGCTATACATCTCAAAAGTGATGGAAGCATTCAAAGAATTGAACCAATGGTTTATCAACCCTTGCACAGCAGAGGGTTATTCTTTCCCACTGCCAGCCAAAGATGGATTATTTTTGTATGTTGATGGGGAGTTTTCAGTTTTCTCAAGGTCAGAAAAGCCCTTCCAGGTGGGCTGAGGCAAAATCTGGATTAATTGAAGAAAAGCCTGATGGCTATAACATACCATTTTTTCTTTCACAAAATGTTTCTACACCAAGAGAAAAAAAAAACATTGGGATTTTTCCTAACTTTGTCTTCTACTCCCTGTGGTCATTTTTTTTTCTTCTCTCAGGTACAACAACATTTTGCAAAAATAGTCAAACTTTGCCATCCAAGGGTTAAATTACCCCCTTAAGAGCAAGCTGAAGTGGCTAAAATGCTTTCAAAGAGAATGCAAAGATGAAATTGCAAAATTAGAAGTGGAGTTTGTCAATATGGCAAAACCTCCTACTGCAGAGCATACAACTATGATTAACAAAAGGTTACTGGCTCTTAAAGCTCTAGTTGGGCCTCTGGAAACTACCACAAGTATTATTGCAAGTTTGGAGACTAATTTGGAAGAGATAGACCTTCATTCAAAGGCTATCAGCCAAATACCCAACTCTTGCTACTTTTGAAACATCTCAAAGGAGAGATTAAAAAAAAAAGCCGACTCTTGCTTAAGCTCTTAGGCTAAGGCAAGCCATGTTTAATGAGGAGCTATCAATTGATCAATTCACCAATCCAACAGCTGAAAAGTTAGTCTTTTATGATGTTGAAAAATCCAAAAAGCTAAGAGGTCTGTTATTGCTAACAATCCAACAAGCAAGCACTGCAATGAGTCAGGTTCCTTGCATTGACAAAGAATGGAAGGACATATGGACTGTAGGGTGGATCCATTTCCTAGGTATGTGATGAAGTGTATACAGACAAACAAATTTGTTTGAATCTTATGGACAAGTTAAAGGTCAATAAGTTTTTGAATATTCAATGTTGCCTTGATGGCTTAGAATCTGCCCACTACCAGCTGATATTTAAAACTCTTGAAGATAGGTATTAAAAAATGGCCCAGCAAAAACACATGAGAGACTTATTTATTTAAAATGTCTCAAAGACCAACCAAAGCAATAAACAACTTCTGTACCCAGATCTGAAAACATGATAGATTTCATGGTTTAAGAGGCACCTGGAAAACTCAAAGTACTGTAGTCCAATGAGAAAATCAGCCAGATGCTTCAATGGAAAGTCCTTTTTTTGAACAGGAAAAATTGGAATATCAAGCCAAAACAAATATTCTTGATGGGTTTTTATTAACAGCTTCCATAGATGGATTAAAGCATTCAATTGGGAGAAAAATGTTTGCAACCCCTTCAACATTCAAAGCAGCTGCAGTTGTAGCCATCTCAGTTGAATAATGTAATTCTCACCTTCCAGAATGTGGTATGAGTGAAGTGTGCTTAAATCAACTGTTGACACATTATGGGGACAAGAATGTTTACCAACACAATTGAACCCATCCCCTGATTTGGTCAGTGCAACCACAAATGTGTCAAGTGATTTGTGATAATGAAGTGTCTGCTACAGATGCAGACAGCAAGGTCATTTCGCAAATGAATGTACAGCATTAAAAGAAAAATAACACTCTATGGCAAAGGAAAAATTAATATAATTTACACCCAAAAATGCACCACTAGGTTGCAGAATTCTGAAAAATGCCAACAATACTTCGAGAGATTTTTTTTTCTTTCCATGGAAGACCTGGAAGAGGCTACAGCAGAAGCTGTGGACAATGGATAAACTTCATCTCAGCCACTGAAGAAGATGAATGCCCTGAAGAAGAAGACCAGGATGAAGAATAACCCAAACCAGCACAAGAGGAATGGCTGCCAGCAGAAGGCTACTATAGAAGGAACTGTCACCTATATGTATTTGGGAAATAAATACTAACTGAAGCTTTGAGTAATTCCCCAAAACTTCCTGTTATAGTAGTCTCCAACAATGTACAGTAAAATCTTGTTACAACAAACTCCCAGGGACCTGAGAAAAAATTGTTACAATGAAACTTTTGTAATATTGAGCTTAATGACTTTTATCTCATTTTAGACATGAATTTCATTGGAAATGGGGAATACATACTTTAAAATGAATATAAAACAAATAACCCAAGTACTTCTGATGAAAAGAAGTGAAATCCTTTGATATAAATAGAACTTTCCTTAAAATAAACTAACAATGGTACTAAAGTATTGGTTGTTTTGAAAAATAAAATGAAACAAAATTAGGTATGGTATAAATACTGCACTTTGTTCTCAATCCACTTATTCACACATAATCTCTCAATAGGAGAAACATTCTTCTTACATACTGAATATTTGAAAAAGGCATTCATTCTAAAATGGATGAGCTGAAAAAATTCCAACAAGGTGCATATTTTGGAAACCAAGTTTTCTATACATGGAGATTTGTTTTTTGTGAATTTTTAATGCTGTATCTTAAAATGTTTTCAACATTTTCTGCCATTTATTGATTGATTCCTGTATGGGTAATGCGGATTATCATGCCCAAAAATTTGTTATAATGAGATTACAGCCTAAAATTAATTTTTTATAATGAAATTTTGAACATTATGTGTTGAAGCTGCACCTTGAAATGGCCTCTGAGATTGTAGAATTTGTATTTGAAATTGTTTGATAGGCAGGCAGTTATTTTCCTGGACCTAAAACCCCATTTTTGAAGCTAGAAATCGAAATTTTGTGTTTTTGGGACCAATTCTGACATTACTGAAAAGGGCCCGTTCTGGGACACCCGTTACATAAGGGGGCCCGTTCCGGGACACCCGTTACGTAAGAAAGCCCTTCCTGGGACACCTTACGGAACGGGGGGCCATGGCACCTTCAGTGGCAGAACAGCTGTCACAGACCAAGAGACAGAAATTCGAATTTTGTGAACGAAGTTTCCTTCAAAT